CCTTACAGCCTGGCTGGGACCCTCATAGTACACCTTAGGGATGTGGAAAGGTGCTAAAAGTTCTACCTCTGAAGCCGGAAGTAGTTAGTCCTAGATTAATCACTGCTTCAACTTTGCTAATGTATCTTAAAGCAAGTCTGAGAAGGTTCAGTCTATATCTGAAGCAGACAGCAAGAGTCCTTAGAGACAGCAAAGGCCACCAGTACCAAGCCAGGTGAAATTCAGTGTCTGAGACACATGGGAAGGCAATCTAAACAAAAAAGCAGGTGTAAGAGACACAGAGCAGTACCAAACAGGGCACTACAGACCAGTCTGCTGCTGGAGCTCCATTTTCTTATTGTGGGGAAGTGGTTTGAGATACTCTACAGAATTGTTATACAATTTCTACAAAAAAAGTTGCGACAATCAATAATAAAAAATATTCTAAGATGCATAAGCTTAAGTCTTTTTTCAAAAAATAGAAATGTACTTAAAAGTTTAAGATATTTGTATTATTCTAAAGGTTCTGAGGACTAGATATTATCATACTGAAAAAAACTTTGAAAACAAATTATGACAGTGATAGCTCAGTGAGTAAAAGTACCTGCCCTAAGTGACTGGACCTGAGTTTAATCCCAGGAACCACATAGAAAAATGAGAAAATCAATCAAAAGTTCTTCTTGGAGCTCCAGATGTAGGCCATGGAATGCTTATATTAGAAATCCGCACACACAAAATAAAATGAAAAGTTAAAAAAATCACAGAGTCATTAAAGGAAAAGAATCATGTCTGTAACAACCCTGTATTTTAAAGGACTTGTAAAAAGTGATAAAGTACATTTTAAGATTTAACAATGCTAGACTACAGCAGCCAAAATAAAAATTCAGACAGGGTTCATTTTCTCTTTCTCACTTGACGATGGGTACCAGTTTGCCAAGTGTCTCACAGTAGGCAAGCTCTTACTTGTCTCTTTTGTATGAGAATATAAGTCCGTGACATCAAGGCTCTACCCTAGGATGCTATTTAACTTAACTTCTTCCACAAGATTCCTGTGGTGTAGCTGCTTCCTCCACACTAGAGCAGTAGTGAGGACTTTCACCTCATTAACTTCCACCATGTGGTGTGGATGGAGGGGAAGGATGAGGACTAGGAACTTGTGAACCCAGTTTCCACAAGGCAATTCCAATCACACCTAATAGTAAAACTGACTGACATGAGATGTCTTGACGTTGCAGCTGCTGAGAGTCATCGTGAGTTGGACAGCCTGAGTTGTTCATGCTTGCATAAGCAGCCCTAATAAACTCACTGGTTCATGGAGCTGGACTCGGATAAAGATTTTCACTGTCTGTCAGTGTCCTATCTACAGTGAAAAGACATTTCTTCAAATTTCCCCAGAAAAAGTCACACAACAAGCTCTGTCCCAATAGTCATACTGGAGATTTCGGTTCAATATATTAATTGCGTGTGTGTGGTGGGGACACACACAAGCATTATTTAGTTCATAACTCAGATGGTTTGAATATTTTCAACAATTCTTTGTTCCTTTTCTCTCTCAGCTTTAAGACTTTCATGGAATATATGTTAGTCGTGGAAGTCTCACAAATGCAGAAAGTCAAAGAGTTCTTTGCTTTACTTCCTTGGGCCTTTACTCGGAAGAATGGTGGTGTTTATGTCTTTAAATCCTTAATCCCCTCCTTCCTTTAGGGCTGAATCTGCTATTATTCTCATCGATGAAATAATTGAGCAAATCTAAGTGCTTGTAGAAGGGCTTTACACTCCTGCTTGACTCTTTCCATTGATCTTCCAATGTCTCTGCTCTTCCTGGGGGTGGATCGTACTTCGCTGTTTCTCCCAGGCGTGCACACTGTAATTACATACCGGCTATGTGGTTCTATACTGCTGATGACATATTTTGTTGTGCTTAGGCTCAATTGAGCAAATCCAGTGTGATGGCTATTCTTCTGTGGTCAATTTGACTATATCTGGAATGAACTACAGTCCAGAAATGGAAGGCACACCAGTGAGAGATTTTTTTTGCTTGGTTTGAACTGGGTGAATCCATTTCTAGTCTGGACCTTTGAGGCAGGAAGATAGATGCCTTTGATGTTGAGAAAGACACACCTTTAATCTGGGCCACCCTCTGCTAGAATATAAGGACATAAAAGGAAGCTTTTGCCCTTTGCCTGCCCTCCCCCTCCATGCTAGCTTATCTGTTCCTTCACTGGCATAGGAGCCTGCTTCCTCAGGATTCCAGCATATACTGAAGACCAGCTAAGACATATAGCTTTGTGGACTGAGCAACTACTAAATTATTAGACTTTCTGTTCATAGCTAGCCATTGTTGAATTAGGGGCACTGCAGCCTGCAAATCATTCCAATGATCACCGTTTCTGTACATAGAGTAATTCCATTATTCTGTTACTCCAGGGAACCCTGATTATTATGAGAGCAACTCCTTAAATCTTGTGGTTTTGTACAGATGTCTGGAACAGCTAGACAGAGGATGAATGACCTCAGAGTTCAGACTTTCCTTTCCTCATGATCACTGCACAATGTTCAGGGTCTGGAAATAACTCTCACAAACTTTATTCAGTGTTTAACTTAAAACTTGGAGAAGATCATGTTACAGCAGTTGCTTTGATAGGTGAGAGTCAGTCTGTGTCAACTTCTCCTTATTTTCAAGATGTACGGGATCAAAAAGTAACTAATCCTTAGTATATTATGTTTAATGATAAGGTTATGGTTTCCACCAACTTCACACAGCCTTGGAGGGAAAGAAAGCACATGGGTGTTGTAGGATGTATCCTGCTGGGAATGGGCTTCTGGTTAGACAGGGAGAGCCAAGCAGTAACAGGAAAGTGGAAATGCAGCACAGGTGAGAGCAAAGAAATATCCACATTTACAGTAGGCTTTTCCAGGAAGACTTGTGATTAAAAAATTCAGGACAGTTATCAATTTTAATAAAGTTACACTGGACTGAGCACACTATTTAAAATACGTGACAATGGCTAGATTGTTTGTGTCAACTTGCCACAAACAGAGTCATAGAGTCAAAGTGAGAAAATACTTCCCTAGGGTTGGTCTGTAGGTAAGTCTGTAGGGCATTTTCTTGACTAATGATTGATATGAGAAGGCCCAGCTCACTGTGGGTGGTGCCACCCCTTGGAATGGTTCTGGATAATGTAAGAGAGAAACAAGAGTGAGCAGGCCAGTAAGCTGCATTACTTCATGGCCTCTGCTTCAGTTCCTGCCTCCAGTTCCTTCCCTGCTTGAGTTCCTGCTCTGACTTCCTTCAGGGACGGACTGTTAACTAGAAGTAAGTTTAGATGAAAGAAAACTTTCCTCCACAAGCTGCTTTTAGTCATAGTGTTTATCACAACAGAAGAAGCCATAAGACACAGATTAATATCAACAGGGCTTTTTAAATGTGTTTTCATAAAAATTTCCAAAACACAATCTCCCTTTTAGATGTCTTTTCTGCCATCAATCGACTGTGAAGAACAGAGACAGCTGCCCTTTCCCTTTCACTGTGGTTGGGAGGAGAAAGAACTGTGTTTTGCTTTCTAAGTAGTAGACTAACTAAAAATGAATCAGGGATATTTGGGGAGGATGGAAATTTTCTACATCTTAACTGTAATGACAACATAAATATGTAAGCTTTTGCCAACGTTCACATAATTTTATGTTAAAATTGGGAACTTCTACTCTATACAAATTGTAGTTCAATAAAGCTCACCAAAACCAGAAACCAAATGTAGAGGGAGGAACAGTAAGTACCCTTACAGTATGATTAGTGTGATTTATAGCAGATTGTCCATCCTAAATGAAATAGCTCCATAACTGTGTAGCAGATCTGACTGGAGATGGAGGAGGAAGGAGGAAGTAAGTAGTATAGTTCATTCAACTCTACCTTCTCAGTCCTGAACAAGGTTCACTAGTCAGTGAGCCATTTTAGTAAAGGATTGTGAACAAAAGTTTAATTACACACAACTCTTAAAGCCCTTTCAGAAACCAACATTCACTGTTCTGGGATTTGGTCATTAAGCACACACTTAATGCTGACACGCTAACACATTTCACTGTTTGTAGGTACTCTGCCATGCCTCAAGGCCATCCTGAGTTCTATACTGAGGTCCTGTCTCATAGAAATAACAACAAAAACAGTTTTGTGGATCCTATTTTTTCTTTAAACCTGTTATTATTGTACACATATATAATGGGGTGACTATATGTCACAATGTGCATAGGGACATCAAAAGACAGCGCTGTGGAGTTCCTGCTACTTGGTTTTTTGTTTGGTTGGTTGGTTGGTTGGTATCAATTTGGTTTAGTTTTAAGCAATATATATTATTTACTAAGCTCAGCATATTAAAAAAAACAGCATTTCACACAAAACCAAGAAAGTTTTCTCTATTTTTATGTGGATCCTGAAATAAAACATAGGTCACCAGCCTTGAGTGGCAAAGTGTCTTTACTTGTTGAGCCATCTGATTGGTCCAAGTGAATCATATTCTAACAACCAACTTGTAACTCACAGCTCATACCTTTACTTATATCAAATTTTCATTTTTATAGCTTCATTTAAAAAAGAATACACTCTAATAAAGCATTAACAAAGTTAACATCAACTGCTTTAAATTATCTTTATAGAAAATACTCAGCTCAATTAAGAATATTATTCTAAGCTGGGAGTGGTGACACACACCTTTGATCCCAGTGCTTGGAGGCAGAGGCAAGAGGATCTCTCTGATTTTGAAGCCAGCCTCATCTATAAAGTGAGTTCCAGGAGAGCCAAGGTTGTTATACAGAGAAGCCTATCTCAACTACAGCAACAAAAAGAATGCTATTCTAACTAAGTATTAATTGTGAAACTAATCAAATGGCTGAGAGATTCCTCATTAAGCATTCATGCTAAAATGATAGTTTTAACATAATAAATTATTTTTATGAACCAATACTTTTGACATCAAATTTTAAAGAAACTAAACATATGAAATGAATCCAAATGGATGGTAACTTACAGTTTGTCGCTGCATGAAAGTGAGAAGAGAGTGCCAGAGTGACTGCATTCCAAAACATGTATAAAATTTCAGGCTGTCCATCCTGAAAGCCAAAGATACAGGACAGGAGAACACTTGGTTATTTCAAGATGTGTAACAAAGGTTGGAAGATACTCTAACAAGAATTGCTCTTCTCAAGGACCCAAGTGGTTCCCAGCACTCATATCAGCTGGCTCACAACTACTGGGGACTCCTAATCCAGAGTGCCCCCACATATGTGACATTCACTCACAGACACTTGGTCATACACATACATAATAAAGTCACCAATAGAAAGATAGGAAGATTCAAGTTTTGTTTGACATTCAAGTGATTACTTGCTATCCTATCCCGCTCTTCTACTCATTAGTCCCATGGCCTTGGGCAAGGAGTGTAGACATCTTCAACCCTCATCTCCTCATCTCTAAGGCGAGCTGGCAGGAGAACCATCGCTGCAGCAGCCTTGGGCCAGTACATGACATACAGCAAACCCTTGATGAATGTGAGCTATTGTCAGCTTCATCTTTGATATACACAAGCAATCTGTGAGACTGTAACAAGATTGACAGAGCATGCACAGATCAAGGATGGCTGGCATTATAAAACAGAATGCTTGAAGTCTTGTTGTCAATTTTTAAGAAAAAGACAAAAATGACAGAATTACTATTAACTCAAAGTATTAGGATACTTTTTTTCAAATTTGAGTATGTTTTATAACTAAACACTGAAAAGGAAGGGCAAGTATTAATATACATAGAATTTTTAAAAAAGAAAACAGAGGGGCTGGAAAGTGGCTCTGTAGTTAAGAGCAGTTACTGATCTTCCAGAAGACCCAGCAGCCACATGGCTAAGATCCAATACTGTTTTCTGCCCTCAGAATTCAACAGACACTGCATGCACACAGGGCACATCGTATGTGCTGGAAAAATATCCGTACACATAATTTTTTGAAAATCTCAAAACAATTAATTCAAAAAGAAAAATATTTTAGAATAAAGTATTCATTTTAGAATAAAGTTACAGTCTAAGAAATTTGAGCAACTATAATAAGGTACTTTTGTATGTCTGTCAGTGGTATTCTACTAGTTTTGAAATACAAAAATATTAATTTCATATGGTAATTTCTATGTATTTTAATTTTATGTATGTACATACTAATTTTAAAATAACTATATAATATACATTTTAATAATGAAACACTATCAGTGCAGTAAAAATTAAACCAAAACTAGTAGCACAGAGTCAGTTACAAGACCACCAGAACAAAATAATCCAAAGCTTTGCATTCATATGGTTATATACTCCATAGCAAGGCACCAAAGCTATACAAGGAAAGTGTAGTCTGAGCAACAAACAGACTCTGAAAGCTAGATACACATGCTAAAAATAAGGAAACAGAATCTGGACCTTACGCCACAATAAAATGTAACTCAAAATGAAGACTTTAACAAGACTTAAACCAGCAAAATTCCTAAAGGAAAATGTGAAGTGGCTCCAAGACAACATATGCTACAATAATTACTGGACATGATTCTGGCACTAAAACTAAAAAATGTTGGTGTGTAAATAAAAACAATTTGAAAATGAAATCAACTGGATAGGGAGAATATTTGCCAATCACAGACACAACGAGGGGTTAATAGTTGGAACACACTACTAAATAACATCAAAAGAAGAGCCAGGAAAAATTAGAGAAAGAAATGAAGTAGACATTTCTCCAAATAAAGTAACAGCAGAGTCAACATCACGAGCCAGCAGAGAAGTGCAAACCAGAGTCACAGAGACACACTGTACCCATTAATATATTGGCCACTATCCAAACAAGGCAAAAGAGAAAAAGCCTGTCACTTCAGCACCTTCTTTGAGCCAGGACCATCAGGTGTTCAGTCACCCTCACACTCCTTGAGCTACATGTGGCAACAAACGGAAAACACAAGCAAAAGCAACAAACCCAAACACAACAACTTTTAGCAAGGATGTTCTGAAAACCGAGCCCATGCACACTTCTGAGAGGAAAGTAAAATACTATAGGCATTACACATGACAGTAGGCCTGTGGAGATGGCTCAGTGGGGAAAGTTCTTGTGACATAAGCACGAGGACCTGCCACTGAAATCCAGAAGCTGCATAAAAAGCTGCAGGTGGCCGTGCACATTGGTCAACCCAATGTTTCTTATGGCAAGAAACAAGGCAAGGAGGGGTAGGATTCCCAGATACTTGTGGCATGCTCTTGCCCTGCCCCCAGAGAAAGATGTTAAAACAGAATTGGCACATGATTTACTAATCCTACTTCTGAATATTTATTTCAGATAGAGATTTGACATACCCATTGGACTCACTGCATCACTACTTACAAAAGTGAAGAAGTGAAAATAACCTACAAAATCCCAAAGTATTAGTAGATAAGTGGCCAATACAGAAGGCAATGCAGGGATGGAAGGCAAAGCATACCAAAGTTATTTGATGAAGTGTTATGGAGTTACACACAAACACATACACACACACACACAAACACACACACACACACACACACACACACACACACACACACACAGTTAAGCCATTTGGGCTGACAATGCTCCCTTCCCACAAGAACCATGGACTGTCAAAATCCCTAGTACCAGGCATGAGAAACTTTTTTGGCTATGGTAGGGCAACTAAATCCCAAACGATATAGATGATCAATGTAGCCCTTGGTTCTCCCTCAGGTGTTGAGGATAGGCCCCTATTATTGAAGTCACTGCACACCTAGAACATAGGATTCAGATTCAAGCTGGATCTGACCTGAAAGTCTCTTTCCTGTTGTCTAGCTTCCATGGTACCATAAAATACTGTGCAAGCTGCCAAGAGAGGGAAACAACCAACACACCCGCAAAAGCTAGGAACCACAGCAATTACCAACATGGGGCAGCAAGTGGCACTCGTGTCAGGGGCAATCAACAGTGAGCTAACTAGACTGAGGGCCACTCTACAGTAGGAAGATCTGCCTGCTACTAGAAACCCAGCCAGCTTCCTGGCACTAATGAGATCATGGACCTTAGAAAAGAATCTGCTACCAACACTTTGCTAGACCAGCATAATTCCTTACTATGCTCTACATCTTAGCTTTATACCCACAGATAACTGTGGCACCACACCCCATAAAAAAAGCTTCTCTTTACAGCAAATAGAGACCATCACTGAAAACCACAATTAAACAACAACACAAAGGTCAACAGATAGTGGAGAGCCCAGCCTCAATGGATGCATCTACCTCACAGCATCTGCAACTATGACTCAGGCAGGGAACATGTTGGGAAGAGGAGGCAGAAAGCCTTTAGGAATCAGAAAACCAGGAATCTGCTGTGAGATAGTCTCTCCTAGAAATGGCTACCAAAACAAAACTGGGATAATGGTGTTATCAGTGGACATGCTAACATTGAAGAGAGAAACTTCATGTTCCCCCACCCCGGACTAGGAATTACAGGTGACTAAGGATTGGTGGAAGAATTATGCTCTCCCTAAGGATGAGCCCACATATTGGTTGTCTGCCACAGATGGTCAGTTTTGGCACCATATATGTACATGGAGAGAAAGAAACAGACTCAGCAGATCATATATGTATATTTGTGCATAGATAGATATTCATGCATACATGTAAGTATGTAACAATAATAGTCAAAGAAAAAGAGGTCATTAGCTTTTTAGCATGGAGGGCATAATTGGGATTTGAGGAAGGGTTAGAAGACAGAAAGGGGGAAAGTGATGTCATTCTATTTCAATGAAAACATATTTAAAAAGAAAACATGGTACATACATATAGTAGAATTATTATTCAGAGTTTAAACCGAAATAAATTCTGTCAAATACTAAAACTTAGATGGATTTTGCAGGCATATGCTAAATAAAATAAGCCAAAGAAAAATATCTTATAATTTATTATATATACATATGTATATGTATATATATAATCTGTAATGTATATATTTTTATATATTACATATGTATATATAATTTTTAATCTGTAATATATATACACATATATAAACTACATGGTGTGTATAGGTAATACTACTGTACTTTAGAATTAGGAATAGTTATGATGTTAAAATTTTAGCATTTATTTTACCACTATCAAAAAATATTTGGGGGTATAGAAATGACTCAGTGGGCAAAGTACTTATTGTACAAGCATGATGACCTGGGTGTAGATTCTGGGCATAAAGGCATGTATGTATATCCTCAATATAAGAAGGCCAAGAAATTCATCCCCTGGGGGTGTTAGTGGCCAGCTAATAGCTAGTAGCTAGCCAAAATTCCTAGTTCTGGGTTCTGTTAGAGACTGCCTCCAAAAATAGGTGGAAAGTGATCAAGTAAGACATTAATTTCTGGCCTCTAAATCCGCATGCACACATATACAAACACATATATCTCACATATACACACTCAACATATTTACAAGAAACGGTGATGCGTACCTGTAATCCCAGCACCCAGGAGGCTGAGGCAAGAGGATTGTAAGTTTGAAGCCAGTCTAAGCTACATGCATAGTCAGATAATGTTTCCAAATCAAACAAACAAAAACAAAAAAAAATTTATGGTGAATTTCTATGAAGTTTAAGAATAATAACCCTGAATATTAAGATTTGTTTTTTTCTGTACCAAGACAAATGTAGACTTAAGTAAGTTTTCTTATTAGAGACATTGAATAGAGACATTAATAGATTTCTTAATATTAAACAATCCTCACATTGTGACAGGCTTCAACAACATACGTTAGAATATAATGTATACGCTTATTTTAATAGATTACTGAGTCTCAGGAGACAGTACAGTCCTTGTCTAACACCATAACTTCAACCCAAAGAGAGAGATTTCAAAATTCCTGATCAACTCAAGGAAGGCAAGAATAAATTTTCTTCGTTTTGTTTCTTTTGAGACAGGGATTCGTGATGCATATAGAGCATACTGGCCTTGAACTCATCACAATTCATCTGCCTCAGACTCCAGAGTGCTGTCACTATGGGTATGTTTCACCAGGTCTGGTTTGACCATACTATCAAAATCAACTTGCTTTGATACCTGA